CGTAGGTTCATTGTATTTTCTATCTCTTACTGTTGTAGTTCTTATTTCAGCCTCAACGTTATTCCAAATGTCAAGTGAATGAAACTCCAATTCATTCACTAAGATGATATCAAAAAGAATTGATCGTCACGTCATGATCAATTTGAATTTGCTTTGCACTTAAAAATTACAAAAACAGAATCAAAAAATGAACCAATCATATTATGAAAGGTCTTTGATTAATCAAGTCTTTTGTTAAATAATAAATCAGATTCAACACTTTGTTCAGCTCAAATTATTCAAATCTTAGTAGTGCTTGTAGGTTCATTGTCCTCCCGCTTTACATTTTTTTATTGTTATTGCTTTGAGTTCAACCTCAAAGTCATTTCAAATGTCATACTAAATGTCAAGCGAATAAAACTACAAATCATTCATTTAGATGATATCATGAAGACCTTAATAAAAAAATGTCTTGTATCACTTCATAATCAATTTGGACTTGCTTTTTTGTCAAGTACTCCAAAATAAATAAAAAATGGAGTATATTTCAAAGTTACCTATTGATGAAAGTTGAAACTCAACAAAAAAATGAATCCTAGTGTTTCTTCAAACGGTCAAATAATACTTTTTGTATATAGATTGTGTGAGTTTTTCTCTAGATATATTTTTCAAGGAAAAAATTTCACACAAGCTATAAAAAGTTTTAATGAACCAAGATAGAATTGATGCTAAATTTGGAGCCAACAAAGTTTGGATGGCAAAACGGCTCATCTCGTCCGTTTTATCATTTTTTTTCTTGAAAATTAAAAAAAAGCTTTGATACAACTTATTGAGATATTTTTGATAAAAAAAAGCTTTGGTACCAATTATTACGTCTTTTCTTATAAAACAAAGCTTTAATATCTTTCATATATTTAATAGCTTAGTATCGATTGTTAAAATCTTTCTTGATAAAGAAAGCACACACGCAGAAACATAAATGTAGACATGTCAAAACTACTACATGAGCTACTAAAAAAACATTCAAATAAAATTTTGTGGTACGCCATTGCAAGCTATATTCACAAAAAATCAAATAAACTATACTAATAAAAATCCTAAAGTGTTCGTCGAGAGCTTTTGTTTGCTCTCTTTTATAAGCTAAATCCTAAGTAGGGTCAAACTACCTAACTTCAATAGACCTGAGTTGACAAACCACACAGATTGTGATATTGGGACATAGATTATGACTTGAAAACTTTATAATCTTTTCTTAGAAGAAAATTGATTTTTTTCGATTTAAGATCTTACGTCTTTGTGAAAAAAATGCTTTATATTCACAATATATATTTTTCATCAAAAGCGTTGTTTGTGAAGGACTTAGTTTGATTGGTGGTAATTTTAACTTGTCTTTGGTTATTCTAAGAACCTTACAGTTATTGGAAAATATTTAAAAACTACTGAAGTTTGTAAAAAAGTTTTGATTTTCTTCAAAAATAAATTTCAAAATATTTTCCATTCGAAAAAACTTTAAGTCATTAAACACAAGCTAAATTAGCATATCAAAATGCAAAAATGTGTTTACTTGAATGATCAAGACAATTGAGCAAAATAATAAAGTTGTGATATGTATGAAAATTTAAATTTTTTTAGTTTTGATTTCAATTTGAACTAAAATAATCACACACAAAAATTTGCATTTCTTTTTATAATTTTCGATTTTTTCAAAAAATCCAGTGAATAGCTGAAAAATATATGCTGAAAGTTGTTTCATTGCAAATTTGAAAACCAAATAACTGAAAAAAGTCATAGAAAGCAAGAACCATGAGATTGATGATGAAGGTAAATATTATCAAGTTGAACTGATCATACGATTATGTTATTTACAAAAAGAATAACATATTTAATGTTATTTCAAAAGTAAATTATTAAATTAATTGCCTATGCTAAAGATTGATATTCAAATGTGATTAGATTGACATGTAGATTATAGATGTAAGTATAATGATTCAAAAATTAAAATATATATGATTCTAAGTCCTATGTCCTTAAAAAAAGGAGTGAATTCAAATTGTAAAATACATTTTTTATAAAATTCGAGAGAATATAACTCAAAAATAGTAAAATCATCTTCAAATATCTTTAAGATGAAAGGTAATGTATGAAAGTTATCTTTTCTTGCGGAAAGCTTGTTGTTAAATTGTAAATATATAAAAAATTATGAAAAAAAAAGTAATTGATATATTCGGTCCAATTGATACCTATCATGACTGTTATTTATATATGATATCAAGGTCATGAGCTTGTTGATTGACATTAATAATCATAATTACAAGCATTTCAAAGGATTGAATTTAGAAAATACGGGACTTACATCAATCAATTTATGAGTTTTGTCTTTATTATAATTTGTTCATAGAGGTTTATTTTGAATCTTCAAATATGAAGCACAAATTATATGCTATAAATATAATTAATATTTATTAATCAATGTAATAAATCATGATTGAAAAAACTAAAATTCATTTGAGTTAATTTTTTTTAATTTGATATTTTTTTCTCATGTCTTGAAAAAGAATGATTTTTAATGCTTATATAGTTATTATGAAAAGAAAAAAAATTTAAAAAAATGTAACTTTGTGATATTTGTAAACTAGAGGTATGTAGAAATAAATCGTAGCCAAAACATGATAGAATAAAAACTTATGTAAAGATGATACAATTGTACATATATCCATGTGCAAAAAATTTCATAAAACAAAACGTTTGAAATATTTTTACATGAATCACTATGTTAAAAGCAAATATACAATTAAGTATATCGTTACTCCTCGATAAAAAAAAATGATTACATCAAAAATCAAATGTTATTATTCAATTGTCAATAAACTCATGCACAAGTAGATTAAAGCATTTTGATTATTCCATTGACAATGCACGATATAATGCATTAATCTCAATTCTGCGACAAATCTAAACTACCAATTTGTCTTCTTTGTTGATCCTGTGGATTGTATACATATATCTACAATCTAAATTTTCCATTTACTAATTCATTTCCAAATGTGAACACATATATTCTCATAATTTTACTTTCATTCAAATGTTGTTTATGGTCCAACATAATCAATCAACGATTAAACATTATACAATTTAACATCAAACACAATATCAAATATACGGTAATCTTGACTATGAAATAATATATCATAATCAATTTGATATTTAATTTAAAATTTTTCAAAGAATCAAAATGTATGTTAATTTTAATAATTTACTTCTTATGTTGCAAATTTGTTCAATATTTTGCACAAGTTATACGGAAATTTTACTTCAATTCACTATCTTTAGTATATATTTTTGGACAAAACTATTCATGTAAAATGACATATATTATGTACTCGACATGGAAAAAATATTATTTATTTAAATCATTTGACCGAAAATGACTAGCAAATCAAATAAATTTACACACATTGATAATTATTAGTTTTAAGAATCAAATCACAAAGACTTCTAAATTTCAAACTTGATGGGAATTACATGGACCTAAATCGTAATCAATAACAATCATCTAGCATACAAACTTAATATAGTCATTTTGAACCAAGTATATATGTTGAAACCCTTGTGTACAGCAAATACATTTATTTTTTATGTGTATTACACACTCTCATAAAAAAGTAGGATATTACTCAGAAAGTAATGATGTATATCTTCAACATATAAATCTTACCATATGATAATATCAATTAGGGAAAAAATAACAATTTGAAATAAATATTATCATGTAACATTTCTGAAGCTTTTGAAATTTTGAGTAACTTTTTTCCTTTTCTTTTGATTTCAACATTTTTATTAAATCGGTATTTATATTAAATTTAATAATAATTTAAAATATCTGATAACGAAGTTATAAATATTTTAAATTTTATCTTGTTGAGTCTTACATGGATATTTTATTTTATTATAATTTTCATTATTTTGAATTCAAAGTGTAATGTACTCCTAAATTTTTTTTAAATAGTAAAGTTTAAATATTTTATAGTAATTTAAGTTCACTATATCTTCTGTGAATCCTTCATAATGGCTATTTCATAATTCATTTTTTCAATGGTCCAACATAAGTTCTTAGTGGTTGTTTATGATGTGTGATTTGAACAAAACCATTGTATAATGGAATATTCGGTAAATTCGTGTCCTGTATCCTTTCGTCCATACAGTTCTCCTTAAAGACACAAGGATTATACACACTATCAAGTTAAAAGTCGCCATATCGTGACTTGGGCATCCTATTTCGGGCATGTCATTACCGGAAGATCTCACAGCACATTAAAATATTCGTATCGGACAGTGCATAATTTCGCAATCTGAGATTGCTCTTGCCGAGATATGCTTCTGGTCATATTCATCTTATTTTGTTCGTGACAAAAATTTAGATCAAAAGTCATCGAATACCTCGGCTGTTGCAGAGTAACAGGGCAATGCACGGAATGGACCACACACAGGATGGAGACCAAATTCTGGTGAAACAAGAGCTTGAAATGAAACCGTTATACTGATAATAATCTTGAAACTGCAGTAGTCTTGAGAAAACCAAGAGAGTGCCTCTATTATTTCGTGACTGATAAAATCGACGTTGAAGCCATCTTCCACAGTGCCCCAGCATGGACAGCCATTCAACAAAAGGTGTGGAGATCCATATGCACATGATTCGTGTACATTATGGATCTCCACAATGGCGACTGGAAACAACATCACTTGACAAAAATCTGTATGCTCTCGGATGCTTCGAAACAACATGTGCTCTCTCACCAACTCATTACTTGATACTTTTCAGTATACACCAATCTAGCATGATATCGTGCTTTGACTGGCAGGCTCCAATCCTTCTGAGTAGAATGACAACTCAGTCCTTTTCATACTTTTCAGATGTTGGAATGAATATCCTTCCACAAGTACTCACTTCCATGCAAACAACGTACACGCAACCCTCCAATGAGATTAATGGACGTGTAATTTAAAGTCCACTGAGATTGGAGTGTGAACAAAGAACTGTGGGATCACTTTTCCGTATATTGAGGCATATAAGAGAAATTAACACTGTTGCGACTGAAAGTCGACAGACATTCTAATCAATACAAATGTAACACAATAAGAAAACAATATCTGCTACTCTTGCACAATCCTTCTTCTCTGCAAATCTGCTCAAACACAGAGCGCCATAACTGGCCCCACAGGCCACAAGCTGACTCAGCCAGCTCTCAGCAAGGTCGTCTACCTTATTGACAGTCCATGGTGGCCTTCATTCCACCGAAGGCATTTCATAAGAATACTGCCTACGACAATGGACAAGGCTGTCGAGCAATAACCAACACTGGGGACTTGCGTGTATGCTAGTTTCCCAGCGAATATACATTTTACTACCTCTTCCTCGGACGTCGTCACCAAACAAAAAATTCTACAACTTGGAGAACTGATGTAGCTCTTGACACATTTACACTGTAACTGGAACTCGAGGTATACTGTTTGCTAGCCGATGCATCTTGGTACCGTTCTCGACGACTGGAGCTGCTGCTGGCTTAGTCTCGTTCTCATCGTACGCTGCATCGTGGCAGCCCAAAGCTGCCCGACCTGAAGGATCCAGATTCTTGGACCACGCTTCGTCCCAAGCGATGGCAGCTGCAGTGCTGCAGGCCACAGTAGGGCCACCAGGAACAGTCTCTCTTGCACATTGCTGAAAAGAGAAACAAATGTGATAACACAAACGTTACTCTACGGTTTCCATTTCTGTAATATGAACTCCAAACATTCTCGATGAAGGAATAACAAATGTATCATAACACACCTGTGGGAAACGCTTCTCGAAAAGCATGCGGTAAAAGTAAGCTTCCTTCGTTGGAGGAGTGTTGAAAGGGAAGATGTATTGGGCCTTCTTCATCATCTGATCTGTGACCTGTATAGCCATGGTTGGATGTTCGGCTTGTAAGGAATTCAGGTCCACAGCTCGATAATCACATCAAGAACAGAAACCTTCACAGGTGACTCCAAAGTAGAAAGCTAGCATATTTACTTACATGACAAGCTGCATGATCCTTCAAACCGTCAATCCAGCTGTATCCAACTCCATCACTGAATTGTTCTTTTTGTCGGTAAAGGATGTGCTGCAATTCTCCACACAATGTTTCAGTTCGAGGGCTGAGCATGTGAAAAGCAAAAAGCTTTGCAAAAAAATTATTTGCCTAATTTCAAAGCTTTCCCAGATTGAGTGCTACCGCCCAATTTGAGTTGTCACAGACAACACAAGAAATATTCTACGAGGATCCAAGAAGCTATTTTCTTTTTCATTATGGAACGGCTGAGCACCTTGGGTAGGTAAGGATTTTCTTCATCGTCAAAAGCTTTACGAAGGATATACTTCTCCAGCCGTCCCTCACTTTTGCGAATCTGCATCGCCAGAACAGGTATATATTAATTGTGATCCAGATCAAACAAAAGACTTCGAGATTTTTCCTTAATGAGTAGATAAAGTTGCAGAGGAAAACACTCACCATCTTTTCGGCAGGATCAATTGACATGGCCAAATCTATGAAGGCCTTGTCCAAGAAGGGCACACGTGCCTCCAAGCCCCATGCGGAAGTGGCCTTGTTAGCTCTTAAGCAATCGTACATGTGCAAAGCCTTAATCTGCAAGAAAAGTAGGATGTTAGGGAGAGTAGACCATACCGTCATGAGGTATATAATGACGATCGCAACCATGTCAAAAGCATGGGATTTAAAACAAACCTTTCTACATGTTTCCAAATGAAATTCCTCTTTGTTGGGAGCTTTGTGGAAGTATAGATAACCGCCGAAGATCTCATCCGATCCCTCTCCTGACAACACCATCTTCACCCCCAACGCCTTGATTTTGCGTGCCATGAGGAACATGGGCGTGCTGGCTCTGATCGTTGTAACGTCATAACTCTCAATGTGGTATATAACTTCCGCAAGTGCATCCAGACCTTCCTGAAAACGGAGCAGAGTATCGAATATATGTCAGATCCGGCGCAAACAATGTGCGCTACGTTTCTAGAGGTACCAGACAGACGGCCACGCACGAGTAGTAGTTGGAGCTTTCGGTCAAGCTGATAGATTTTTACCTGTACAGTGTAGGTAAACTCATGGTGTAGCGTTCCAAGATAATTGGCAACTTCTCTCCCTGCTTTCAAATCGGGAGAACCCTGTTGACACACAGCACGTCGTCAGGTAAATGTACGATAAAATTGCTGATGTTCTTATAAATAGGATTTGAGGATTCGACTGTAAGTGCGCTGCGAGGGACTTCAGATCAGAGCGAGAGGAAGATACTATTCCAGTAACCATCATTACGAACCTCCAACCCAACACAGAAAGTATGCAACTGAGGGCCCCACTGCTTGGCAGCTTTCGTTCCTGCGAGGTGCCGCGAAGCAACAGCAGCGACCAACGACGAGTCCAAACCACCCGACAGCAGAACTCCAAATGGAACGTCGGTCATGAGACGCTTCACTACAGCCTGCGGGGAGAAAACAAAAGGATTCAGTTCCGGCAAATATGGACCCTGGGGTCGTAAGAACAGGGAGCATGGGAATGAAACAATCAAATCCAACGCCGCACAAACTCGATTTGAATGTGCACTGAGTAATTGCCTCTGCGCCTGCATTTTCTTTACCAGTAGCAGTCTGACTGTTCGAAAGAAAACAGATTTCAGTGACAATCAGCTATTTTGCCAGAGATTTTATTGCTCTCGGGCAGGGAAAGAGTGAGGAACTAGACCTCTTCAAACTTGTGGCGAAGGGCCATAGGATCATAAGGAGCAGATGGGATGCTTCCCGACCACCAAGCTGGATTGTAATATCTTCTCAACTCTCCTGAATTCCGCCCCGACATGTAAGAAAATACAATGGTTGAATGTCTACCGAACTAGGAAATCATCCCTCAAAAGACTGACATAAAACTGTTCGAGATGGGCAGGGAAATGTACGACCAAAAATGACGTCAAATCGCAGAAGAGGTAGATTCGCACCAAAGCTCAGAAGCTGAATTGAGTGGGAATCGATCTGTACCTGTCTTGCTTGAGTAGATGTGACCAGGAGGAAAAATATGGAATGTTTCACAGTCATCGACGAGGGCCTTCATTTCTGAAGAGAACCATACTGAACCTGTCTTACCAAGAAAACACCACAGTTTCAAATGCTCACCCTGGATGTTAGGGTTGGTTGATTCTTCCATTCTCCATAATCAATTCAAGGTGAATTATCGAATGCACAAAAAAAAAAAAAAACAAATGGAAACGGGGTAGAGATTGCCGGCTCGGGAAGGAAGCTGAAGGGGGGCATATATGACCACACACCTGCTGTTCTCTTTACCGACCAGGACTTAGATGCATCATTTTCATCAACATAGTCTGTCGAACCCTCAAAAGTGCCCGAATGCACGGACTCATTTTCATCTACATTATCACTACTCGAAGATTTACCATCAAGACCCCAACCAATGTACAGAGGTGTAATCCCAATGGGATCTCGGGCAGCAATGTAGCTGTTGTCACGGGTGTCAAGCAAGACAAAGGAGAACATTCCGTCCAACAGCTGGACACATTCCTCGCCCATCTCTTCGTACTGCAGGGCGAAAATCACAGAACAATTGTGAGGGCCTAGAAGCTGTAGAAATTCGAAACGAAGTGTAAGCAACACCAATTCATTCGTGAATCACTCCATGTTCAGCTAAATTGCGCAAATAGCGCTCAGGGAGTTGAACGTAGGCGAGCTTACCAGATGTGCGATAACTTCGCAGTCACTTTGGGTGTGGTATTGGTGTGGCCTTTTCATGTTCTTCTTCAGAATCTCGTGATTGTAAATTTCTCCATTTACCTGCACAGCGCATGCATTCTGCCTATCAGAGCGACATTCGGAAAGGAAGCAAGAAGACAATAGGAAATCAAGTAAAATTCAAGATAAAAGAGAACAACACGTACAGCGACCACGATGCTCTTGGACTCGTTGTAGAGTGGCTGATCTCCGGAAGCGGGATCTATGATAGCCAAACGTTCATGGGCCAGGAACGAGTCCCTGTACTGGAAAAGACCACTCCAGTCGGGTCCACGGTGCCTGAGCCTGCACGAAAGCTCGAGAATGCGAGCTCTCTTCGACAGACTCGTGTCATGGCAACCGAGAACAGCCAATATTCCACACATTTTCACCCCACGTCCAAAAACCCAACCAAGGTTTAAGCACAAATTCTCAAGTATTCAAAAAGTGCGAGCAGCCAGCCGGTGCCAGAATCACCCAAATCGCAGCGCGTCTTGAGAATTGCTCGAGAATCGCAATCAATCTCGCCCACGGAATGTCTCCTTTGTCTGTCTCGCCCCCCGTGCGCCCCCGGACCCAAATGCAAATGCCAATCGGTGCTCTAAAAAAGAGAATGCGAGGGATTTGTCGAAAACGGCCTGAAAGCCCCGACGCCACGCCCCCGAGCAAAAAGACTAAAGACCCCGTACCCTCCCCTGCCCCTGCCCCCCTGACGACTACTACGGTAGCCCGCAAGCCCCCGACTGACTGGACTGCAGAGCGCTTAGCGCTACCCCGCTGTCCGATGGACGACGTAGCCCCCGGGAACTGAGGGCCACTGACAGACTGCGACTTTACTTCCCACGACGCACCTGGACTAAACTCGGTAGCTCAGTCAAGCGGCTAAAGGCCAGTGACCGGGACTACCGAAAGCCTGAACGTAACTGGACGGACGGGACGGGAGCTGACAGACGTAGTAGGAACAGAGTGACTGGCTCGGTGGCGAAGGAATTGCAGTGGTGCACGGCGGATGGAGATGGAGATGGGTGCACTGTGTGGTGCTGGACGAGACGGTGGTGGCTGTGGTGGCTGCAGGATTCAGCTGGTGAGCTGCAATGCGCACAATTCTGAGCTCCGAGAAGAGTGGAACGACGGAGATGGCTATGACAAGGCGATCGTGGGGCTGGGAGACTGCGCCGCTGCGCTCGTTCGGAAGGAGGAGGAGGACGAGGAGTCACTGGATTGCTCTGCTCTGCTGCTGCTGCTGCTGCTGCTGCTGCTCGCACTGAGTGAATCTGAGAGGACTGTGAGGGGGAGAAAGCATGAGTGATTGAACACAGGTAATGGACTCGTTCAGCAGCCAGAGCTGGAATTTATGGGGAGCAGGCCAGACAGCCCCGCCCCAGTGTGTCCTTCCCCATCATGAAAGGGAGCCAGACGACACCCATTTCCTCCCGCATGCCTGAGCTTGTCTGAATTCCCCTTCTCTACAGGAGTTTTCATTTGGGTGTCATGAAAGGTCGACCGAGGCGAGCTCCAGATAAAATTTTCCTCTGAGCAATACTTTCTTCCACGCTTTCCACTTTCCCAGCCATAGAAAATCATTGCGTTCCGGTGTGCTAGTCTGCAGTAGTCTGCTAGATCTCCCCTGCTGTTTTGCAGGCGACTTTTTCTTTCTGGGTGTTGTCTCTTCCAGGGCGACTCTCGCTTCAAGTTGGTGACTTCGGGCTTCTGTTACCGCAACCCCTTTTTTATAGTATTAAAATACCGTACGCCCTGACCGTACGTAGGGCAAGTTGGGGATTTGCGAATCAATGCCGATAGTTCTTTTTTGCAGGCCTTCTTAATGGAAATGATCTGCTCCTCATTCCAGCACCACTTTGACCCACAAATTCGAGCCCTTGAATGTTCTCTTCCATTATTCTCTCAGCCTTCTATTCTTCTTTATGGTATCATGCAGTACAAGTTCCTTGATTGCTGCAACATTGTACTTTACCTCTTCTTCTGCGTGAACATGCGACCGAACTTAGATAGAATCAGATCCGGACCGAAGAGCGAGAAAATGTGCATTTCGTTTTGAAATGTTGGCAACCGAATTCTGATAGCCCTGAAATGTGAACCGTAAGTTAACCTGACATCGCTCTCCCAGTCCCCTGAAAGGTAAAAGGAGACAATTTATTTCGGAGCTCAGACAAGACTGATATTCGACAGCTGCTTCTGCACATCTCTGCAGCTCCTAGAGCCGCATCTCTTGGAGAGAACGAACACGAAAACAATCTCTAAGATTCAGGCCCAAAGCTGATCGACAGCAGCCACAGTTATCAGCTCCTGTACTTTCTGAAGCACCAGAGACTTATTTAGCTCGCAGGAGATGAAGATCCTACCGTCCCCTACGAGATTCAGGCGCACAACGAAAGATGGCCTCTTATGCCTTCCAGCTTTATGGAGCTATCAATCATCATGGGAGGGAAGCAGATCCCACCATTAACGTACATCTTCTTCATTTTGTCTCAAAAGTTAGAGACCGAGAAATATGATAAACAGGGACAAACCAAAGGGCAGAGAGGAGGTTTATTCTCTGCATCTTAATTTCCAGTTGAAATGGTTTATTTGTTACACTAGTGTATGAAGAATCACCGTCTACCCTGTTTCATCTATTGTGCATTGCTCTGATTAATGATACTGTATTAATAAAAATGGAAGCCCTCTTTCTCAAACATATCATTCAAAATGCTATAAGACTATAACATATCTGCTCGTATAGATATATCTTGAGAAACATACGGAATCGGACGCACATAACTCAATGAAACTCCGAAAGTCGTGAACTAAACCGTATCTGTACCTTGTGTCTAAAGCTAGGGAAATGAAGCAACCGAGGGAGGTAGAGTGTATTGGAGACAAGAAAAGTAGCACGCGGGATCATTGCCGGTAATTCCCACAATCATGGTGTCAAACCTTGTCCACTCGGATACACAAATGCCAATGTAGGTGCTAAGGCTTACTGCGACCTATGTTGTGCATGCGACACCGTGGATTCGATTGGTTGCCTTGCTTCAAACTTCAATGCCAAGTGTGGATGGTGGCCCGAATCCCAATGCGCTCAGTCTTACACAGTTTGCATTCGAGTGTTTATACCGAAAATAGCAACCTCCCAGCCCCGCCCTCAAACAAATCATCAAGGGCCTGGAAATATTTTGCAGCGCAAGTTTGCAGGCTCTCACTCACGACCTTCCTCTCCAGATTCTAGATTCGTAGGTATGGCTGCTGCTTTAGGTGACGATCGCACGACAAGAGGAATGGGGCCCTTCCCCAAACTCTTGGATCAAAGAGTGCATATACCTTTTTAACTTTATCCTGGACGAACTCCACATGGGCTCGACTTGTTCACATGGAAACTGCGGCTTCCATCCAATGGACAAGACGTGACGAACTTTCCTTAATCGAAGTGTTACCTTCAGGACGGGGACCAAGATAAATCTGAATCATTCAAATCTAAATTATGTTGGGGCTACCGATAACAACAAACTAGACCATCCAGTTGCTTGGAGGTTCTCACCTTTTAAAATTTCCCTTGTCCACAACTTTTGTCGACTGGCCATTCAATTGAACCAAGCAACAAAAGGTAGCAAGCGATCACTCGGTGTCGATGTGTCTTCACACCTCCCTTCTCTCGTCGCCGACGGTGGTGTTTCCATGAACAATGAGACCTGTGCCATGCCTTCCGTGTTGGTTTCCTCGATCGATGACTTTTTGTGTAATGCCTGGGCAGACATGGACAACAGGCATCCCAGATAGAAGCAAGAATAGCCGGGCTCCTGCTGCAACCAACATTTCGGCTTCTATTGTATCTGGCTTTCTAATTTTATCCCTCATACCGCAACCCTTTCGTGCCAAGAGGTGCAGCTACATCCAGCTTCGTGTCCTTTCTTCCACAATCGGCCCAACAAATGCCCAGAAATGAAGAACTGCAAATAAAATAGAACTGAAGCAATGCACAGAGAAGAAGAACAAAATCAAACTCCAGACAGCCATAAAAAGCAAGAGGCATGCAAATCCTGAAACTCAGGTGAAAGCTGCATCCTTGTTTCCAAATTGCTGGTCAAACCTATAGGAAGGAGTAATTGTCGAAGGGATGATCATGTAAATTCACATCCATTTTTAAGGATATAACAGAAAACGGTGGCCTCGTAAACAACAAAAAAGGATGTGAAGAACCCATCAAGCCCTCATTGGATGAAACAAAACAGGTAACCAGTATCACAATGTAAATTGATCCAACAGCATCTAAGAATCCGAAATAGAAACGAGAAGAAATTTTGTAATGAGTAAAGGTATAACTAGGATGTGATGAACAAGGAAGTCCATTGATCTATGCCAACCTTCGGCTTTTGGAAGACTAGAAGCATTCTCCGAGAAAACAACAATATTCCAGCCCGAATAACAATCAACTCCCGAGCAAAGGTGTTTGGACGTGACCGTTTAGAAAATCATTCGTTTTCGCTCGTCGTTCGAATTGAAGAAAACTACTTCAAATTACAAAAATTGGAAAGATAGATGGAAATTCAGCTCCAGTAGTTTATAAGATCAGTAAATCTATGCATTCACTCATCTAACTTTTTTAGCCAGTTGGACATCCTCTCTCCAAGTAGCTTACACAAGATTGGCACCATCTACTTTGTTATAGAATATCAGGAGATCTTTTATTTTGGTATATGAAACCATAAACAATTCCAGAAGTAGTCTGCATTTCTAAACTTTTAAATTCATAGTAAATGTTTACTAGTGTGCTATACACAAATTTGGGACATTAATTGATTTAAATGATTTTTAATCACTAGAAACGGTTGAGAATATGAATTTTGACCATTGTTGTATCTTATTTAAACAATTTTCACCTACTAAACCAACATAAAATATCAAAAAAAAATTCCATTCTTATTCATTTGTAAAAAATTTCAAATTATGAGAAGTATTTGGATCACTTTGGTTTGATATTAGAGTCTAAGTGAGCCGTTTTAGTACTACCCTTTATATAACACAGAAATACATATACTCGGAGATGACAAATATCACTATTAGTTTATATGTTTGAAAAATATTCCATGCATTATATAGTCTACTTTGATCAACTTCTAATCTCTTATGTAGATATCTCAATAGCTCACACAAACGCTAAACAATATTTATCCTCATTTCATTATAATTGCATTATGCTCTAAAGATATTTCAAATTTTGTAAATTTCAATTTCAAATTAATTGAAATATAAATATATAGAATTTTTTCTGTTTTATTAAATCTATTAATTCTATTTTCACTGATAAATCTCTATGAACAATCCTGAAGCATATTTTTGTCTTAAAAAAAGAAATTCAAGATATAAAATGGAAATCACTTCATATGTATATGTACATAATAGATGATCTTAAAAATGCATTTATGCATGTCTTCTTTATGAAATAAAAGCGGAATTGAACTTTAAAAGTCCTATATATCGTATTTCAAAGCAGCAATAGCACTCTATATTACATCATTATCACAAACAGTTTGTTTCAATGTAAAGAGATAATATTGTGATATATTATTATGATAATTATTAGGCATGATTCTGACAAAATTATACTTGATTTATCAAAACATTGAAACACACCACCAAAAAATTTCTTTTCACAAAATTTTTAGAAGCCAAAAAACCAATAAATGATAAATTTTGTAAATATCAGTTGAAATATTCAATTTTGATGATTAGCATATCTCTGATGATTTTTATGATTTATGTATATCTGTATGTTTTTATGATTTATGTATATCTGTATATTTTTATGATTTGTATGATAGTAACACTGGTATTTTAATTGAAACTCTTAAATTCATAATCTTTCACAATCATAATAGATTGATAAATTTATTTTATATAAAATAACATATTTTCTGACTCAAAAACACATCAATTCTACTTTGCACAAGATTTTTGATCAAAAAAGGAAACAAATGTGAAGTAATATATGTAATGAACATTAATCTTACAGATATTGATCTTTTTTTATTATGAAAATGTTGATTTTATGTAAATACATTTCATATATTATAATTTTGATACAATTTTTTTTCTTTGATGTAATTTGTGATCCTAATTGAAATAAACTTATCATTGCATATTTTTTGTCCAAATACAAAATATAAAGTGAAGATTATTCACAATAATATTTAATAACAAGAATGTTACTTCCGGTCAAGGAGAGATTCTATTGGATATATTTTCAAGAATAGTTTTCATGAGATAATAGCTCCTTTTTTTTTGTTGCCATACAAAACTGATTTTAAAGATGGGTTGCAATACATATAAAAATGGTTGTTGAATCATTCTGAATCAAAAGATTATACCTGTAAGAACATGCACTATTCTAAAATTGCAAACGACAACTCTCCATGCCATGATATACTTGTCATTATCAAGATATGTTTACCCAAACTTTAATTTTTGTGACAAAGAGCTTTCACATGTTTTTTTATATCTTATTACATGCCTTAATATCAATAATCAGAGTAAATAATACATATTTAAAGACTTGAGTTCAATTTAACATT